GATATTATAAATATCAAAAATGTAGATCTCATTCTCAGCTTTCCATAGAATATTTATTCAGCCAAATTCGAGTTGATACCAGACGTTACCAAGCTATCCAGATTTGCATGATTTGTTTCCTTTTTCACCAAACTTCTTCATTTGTTCCTGTAATTATCTTAGGGCTTAAGTTTTGATTTAAAGGCTCTCATTCACTATTGTATGTAACAAATAGGGGTAGATAGCGAGGGATTACGGTAAAAATTTTTCTAACTCCTTTTGGAGAGAGGAGGGTTACTCTTAATTGAGAAGACCTTCCACTTTGTGACGTATTAAATGTGACGTTGATGTTGTCAGTGGGGAAAGCTCGAGGCTGAAGTTCTCCTCTAGCTTCACCGAGAAGTAACGTCTTTCGAGTCGACCTTGTGAGACGTCGAATAATTGGTCAAGTAGGCTCGTTTGCTAGTCGTCTTTGACAAAAGGATCGACAAGTACCGCCCTTCGAGTCGAGATCCTTACTTTTTCTTGGCTGCTACTTTGATTAGGGTATTGCATGCAGAACTACATATGTCCATTGCTGGTAAAGGGTTATACTTTGGTTTGTAAAACACCATAACAGTTGGCCCCTTTCACTTGGAGTCCGATTGAGTTAGGTCCGAGTGAAATGAGAACAATCTTGGATGGATGTAGGAGTGCATTAAATGAGAACTAATAAGTCTCTTCAGACTAGACGTGGCTGACGTCATCATACATTCTTTTTTACTACCACAACTATATTTTTCTTTATAGATTGTGGGCTATTTGAGGTGAGTGGGTTGCGCCTCGATCTCTGGGATGCTGCTTCAAATTCTAATAATTAATCTTAGCTTTTGGACAAGGCTTGATTCGGCTATTCAGAATCTGGCAGTTGTAAAGTCAACTGTCCAAATATTGAGCCTGAGCCAGGGAGATGGCAGTTACTATCTTTTGAAATTCCTCTTACAGAACTTAAGATCTTTTCTATCCATCTGTTCTGGCGATCATCTCTGTAACCTTCAATGGCATTTGATCCTATTGATTGACAAGCTCTTCTGGCAGGGTTCCACTCCAAAGTGACCTAAGCACCGATGAAGGATCTTCATAGGAGATTTGATATCCCTCAGGGGTATGAGTTAATGGCTCTGATGAGCTCCGAGGCCATATATGATCATGGGCCAAAGCAGGATCTCCTCTACTTGAGGCACTTGGAATGTGGTCTATGGCTACCCCTGCATCCTTTCCTTCAGCAAGTCTTCATGGTGCTAGGGGTATCGCTGGTCCAAATGAAGCCGAATGCCATCGCAACTTTCATGACATTTGTGGTGATTTGTCACTGGTTGGGAATAAAACCGTCCTTGCAGGTCTTGGGCCACTTGGTGATAATGATGGTGAACTAAACTGAACTCCATTACCATTTCCAAATGGTAGGGAAGTTCAGGCTCATAACCAACCTTCTAGACTCACACAAGGACTTGAAGGAGAAGTTTATCTGGGTCGTGGAGGACGATCTGGAGTTGGGTTGCTCAAATTGGCCCAAGATAAGGAGGGAGGCACTTCTGGAGGGCGAGATGTCCATCGCTGAGAGAGATGCGCTTGATCAGATCAAGGTGTATGCTGGCTCTCGCCAAATTGATCACCTACTGGATAGCTCAGTCCTGCATGTTGCCAATATATCTGTTGTGTCTCCCACTACCAAGAACTAGTAGAGGGCTTCGGCCTTGATCTTAGGGACAATGGAAGTGCCAATGGCATCGGTTGTTCCCTTAACTGATCCCTAGGAAGGGTCGTCTGCTGAGCCCGAGAAGCGTCTCTGCTAGGACTTTCCACCTGTAGAGGCTAAGATAGGCAAGGAGGAGCCTATCGCAACTCTTGTCCATAGACGGAGGCGGCGGCCATGGAGGGATGAAGAGCAAGTGCCTCAGGTGGCGGCTGAGGTGCCCTAGATTAACGTCATTCATTTGGATGAGTCAGCCCCAAAAGAGTCAGTTGAGGCTCCTCAAGAAGAGGGAACCGAGGCTAGATTTCATGCTCGCTCTCCAGGAGTGCCTCCCTCCTTATCTTGGGCCAATTCGAGCAACTTAACTCCAGGTCATCCCCCACAACTTATATAAACTTCTCCTTCTAGTCCTTGTGCGAGTCTAGAAGGCTGGTTATGAGCCTGAACTTCCCTACCATTTAAAAATGGTAATGGGGTTCAGTTTAGTTCACCTTCACTATCACCAAGTGGCCCTAGACCTACAAGGATGGTTTCATTCCCAGCTACAGTGATTCAACTCGTCGGGGGAAGGGGCTGGTTGAGGAGGAGATGTTGCCTCCTGCAGAGCTAGAATATCCCTTTCCTCACCGCGTCGCCGACATCGAAGAAGAAGTATGGGAGAGGATGAGGCAATACCTCATCGGGACTATAGGGGTCGGCTCTCGATATGGGAAGTAGCCTGACCCGGAGCACTGTTTCAAGCCTGATCACTATCTCGACATCAAGGGGACTGTCCTGGGCTCTCGTCGGACTCAGTCGAAGGCGGTTGAGTAGTTCTAGCTTCCTCGAGATGAGGAGTTTTTGCAAGGGGTTCTTGTTGTCGATCTCCACTTAAGCTTCTGTAGCTATTTGGTTCGAGGCATTTTGTTGGAGACGAAATTATACAGCCAAATGGAATAGGTTTGGACTGTATATCTCAAGCTTCTAGGGGAGGTTGCTTCCTTGAGGACCAACAGAGGTGCCGACTCAGAGCAGGGTGCTGAGACGCCAGCCCCAGACACTTCTGAGGTCGACAGGCTCAGGCAGGAGATTGAAAGAGTGAGAAGAAGGCTAGGAGAATGGAGGAGGCTCTCTAGGAGAGGGACCTCACTATGGCACGGGTCGGAATATGGAAGGAGGTGCGGCGCATACGAGGCGTCGGCTAGACAAGAACCAAGCAGCGCTTTTCTCTCACAACTTTCCCAAATCCTTTGCAATAATCATCTCTAATGGCTTCTTAGACTTTCACCACTGGCCACAATGAGGAGATAATTATTCTTCTCTGACCAATCCACTTAAAGATCTATATTGGAGATCTCAAGGAGTTCTATGGGCTCTATGATATCCCCAAGGCCTTTACACTTATAGCACCAAGTGGGGATGAGCCGGTGTACCGTCATGGCTAAAATAAGGCTTCGTTATACCTCTCCCATCTCGAGTATAGGCTTCAGCTGCTACTCCATCCCTTCATTAGGGATGTTTGTATGGCTCTGGGGGTTTCCCCTCTTAATTCAGCCCTAATGCAATTAGGGTTTTGGTGGGCTTCATCATTATCTACCACCGAGTCGACATCTTGCCAAGCATGCACCTGTTGGGGCATTTGCTTAGTGTCAAGTCAACGAGGAGGGACCCCTACTACTTCTACTACTACAGTGGGGGTTGCAAGCTTACCTTGGACGCTCCTGAGTCGAACAGGGACTGGAAGGAGTGGTTCGTGTGGGTCTTCGGTGTCGGTATCCTCTCTTGCCCCAACTAGCCTGAAATCAACAAGGACGCATTAAGGCCATGCATCCTTGATGCTAAGGAGAGGTGATAGCTAGAGAAGATCCGCTCCTATGCTGGTTTCGGAAGAGAGGCAACCTCTTTGAGACGGAGTCCCTCCGAGTGGAA